TGTAAACATGATGGTAACTGCACCAACATACCTGGATCGTATAAATGCAATTGCGATAGCTATCATTTAGGTTGTTTTCTGTTGTTCTTGTGAAATCTTGTTTAATTCATCGATTTTTAAAATCATTTCTATGTTAAAGCTCTTAAGCTCAACATTCCTATCAACATTTGGAAAATATCTACATCAATGGGTAAATTGTGTTTTGGACTCCTTTTTTAAGTCATTCTTCTACAGACCACTAAAGATATGGAGAAACTTTAGTTTTTTGATTTCAATATGCCTATGCCCCAACATTAAAACAATATAAAGTGATGATTGCAAAACTTTTATTTAAGACTGATTAATTCTGAATTTCAGGAGATCATTGTGAAATAGTGGGCAGTTGTGTAGAGGGACCGTGTGGTGATAACGGTGATTGCATACAGCAAACATCAACCACACATTCATGTGTCTGCAGACGAGGTTATACCGGTGATGTATGTGATACAATTATTGATTATTGCAATCCAGATCCGTGCGAGAATGGTGCTACTTGCCAAAGATTCATCGGTGGCTTCAACTGCTCATGCTTAGCTGGTTTTACAGGTTATTTGATTATAATAAAGACTGAAAGCTTTACTTAATTAAGAATTAACAAATAAAGTTCCGAAGTTTTCAATGCATATTTTGCTATCACTCACTCCAATTCAATCCACTGAAATTCTTGGGACTGAAATTTGGAAGATTTTAATCCTTATTCAAAACATTGTTCAATTCCCATAAATAAGAAACTTACGATATAAGAAATTTCAATTAACGAAGATAAATAAATGAGGTTTTTGCAATATAATTTTTTTTTCGACGTCCAAAGACGTCGTGAAGCAGTTTCAGCTTTACATAAACATACGTTAGAATGTGAATGTTGACTGATTGAAGGAGAGACATGCTCAGTGGATATAGATGATTGCATCAATGAAGTGTGCCAGAACGGTGGACGTTGTACGGATCGCGTAGATGGATATGAATGTGATTGTGAAGATACAGGCTATCAGGGCACCCACTGCACTGAGGACATCGATGAATGTGATCTGGACATTTGTGCAAATGGCAGATGTACCAACTTGATTGGCTCATATAATTGTGCTTGTGACATAGGTTAGTTTGTTTAGTTGTAGAAATGAATATGAATGAGTATGAGAAAATCTACCACTTAATTCGACATTGTTTTAGGGTATATCGGAAAACGATGTACGGTAGAAGATCCATGCGTTCCGGATAGCCTGAATCGAACAAAACACGACTGTGTGCATGGCGCATGCGTTCATTCTGCAGTTACCATGAAGAATGGTCAGGAAATGGCAAGTTATGAATGCGAATGTGAGTTCGGATATGGCGGAGAGCACTGCATCCACTTAATCGAGAAAAAAAGGTATACAGCCTTACTTCATTTGGACAAGTTTAACATTTTTCAATTTCTTATTGTTGCTAATTGATTTTTTCAATACCATCAACTGACATGGAATATGAGATTCTATTCTTCACGTTACATTTCAGTGTGTTGTGCTGTGCGTCCAAAACATGGAAATTTTCGTTATATTTTCAGTGTTAGGTCAGCCAGTCTAGATAGCAATTGCAGAAATTGTGAAATATTTATAGGTCAACTTCTGCATTATTTCATTGACCTAAAGAATTGCGACTGAATTGATGATAATAAAATCCTATGAAAATAGCATGGCGATTATAATTTGGAGTTTCTTTTATTAATTTAGTAAAATTTTAAATTTATCTCAGTGAGTTACATAGGAATTGCTTATCGTTGGTTTTGTATTATTCGCAGTAATAATGATTCGTGGACGACGAGCAAATCAGGGTACCTACAGTCCATCGCATCACGAAAGTAGCATTTCACGAATGCCGGTCAAATTTAAAATTTAAACAAATTAAAAAATGCAAATATAAAATTCTTTTATATTTATTGCTACTTTTCATCCGGTTACTAAACAGAAAATTTGGAAAGAAGTAGTTTAAAATTCTAAACAAATCTACATAAATAAAAATGCAAATGTCCCTTTAGGCTCTTCAGATAACGTTGCAAGTTCTTCATCAATCGCTTAGTATTAGAAAGTAATGATAATGAAGGATTAATAAATAAAATGATAAAAATATATCTATGTATGCAAGAATGGCAATATACAGATTTCTCTATTTCAGATGAATTCAATGCTCAAATCTCCACCTGAAGAGAGATTGATATAGTAGTAATAGAGTATTATGATCAACTCTTAAAGTTCAATTTGTATCATCTTTCTCCTTTTTACGGGTTTGAATTGTGCCTTTAACTGTTCTCCGATTATTTTTGCAATAGAAAGATATTTTTTGCATGCTAATATTATTCATGCTCTTCATGCGGCTAAATATCTATTGAACATACTTAATAAGGAATCACTTATCTAGCGTATAATAAATTCTATTGAATCCGCTTAATCGGAAAATTTTTATGAGTACTGAATATGCCTTAAGTTTCGTCCAAGCAAACATTTCAAATCAAATGTTTTTATCAGGATTGATTGTTAAGTTTTCTTCGCTGTTCTGATGAAAAATATAAAAATATGGATTTGTGTTTCAGTGGCTTTAAATTCATTCGTTTTTCCATCGTTAAATTTCTGGATATATATAACATTGTAATCTCTTTGGTTTCTCAAAGAATGATTCTGCATAATGATTAATTACGGGTGAATCAATAACATTCGATAATGACAAGCTTGAAACTCAGCATGAGATTGTTGGCGAAAGCCGAAAAATGTCAAGTATTGTCATGACAATTACTGTAAATAAAAAGTGTTAAAGGTCGAATGGTGCGAAATAGTTTTAAACATGTTTTCCGCCAAAATGATAACCATGCTTATCGCCAAACACTCCAATTAACAGATAAACAAAGCGAGATCATGAGGCGTCAAATTGGAGATCAGGAAAGAAGGAGGGATTTCGAAAAGATATATAAGGTTCGGATATGGAGCAGAAGCACCTTATTCCACGATTTAGAATGAGCACTAGTATTCCGTACAACCTTGGATATTCTCGGATAGTAGTTTCTTCTTAACTGTTACGTCTATTAGTAAATTCTCTCTTCAAATAGGATGGGTGAACGATTTCAAAATTTTATGAGCAAGAAGGATTTCCATCCAAGTTCATTGCGGAATATCAAGAAGGTATGGCAAACGTCAAAAAGATGAAATGAAGAAGAAATGTCAGGAGGAATTGCGCGTTGCATATGAACGGGAATAAGAAATACCGAACAATAAAGCTCTTCTAGGAGATGAAAAGGCACGCATGGGTCTTTCATTTATGTATGATGCACCTCCTGGCCTTAACAAAAAGGAAGAGGACAAAGCCGAACCGAAATTCAAATGGCAAAGAAAATATGATGCGCCGAGGAAAGATTGGGCCAAGAATAATGATGCCAGAATTGATTAACCTTTCGGCAAACAAATGCGTAAGGTGGTTGGTATGGATGAAAGGTATTTTGATACAAGAGATTTTGGAAGCGCAAAACGACCGAAAATTTCATCATGAAAACAAGCAGAATAAATAAAAACTAATTTTAATGATTGTTTAAATTTTATTTCGTTTTATAATGCTTTTTGTTTTGACATTTGAAACAGATACATATTTGGCTTATGGTTTATTTTTCATATGATGTTGTTGTAAATTTTTTTTTTTTTTGATAAATTTTTCATTTCTTATTTTCGACAATTAACTTATATGAGTATAAGCCTCACGAAATTTCCACGCAATATCAGAGATGAAACATCGGTCCTAGTTCCGTTGAAGCAACCCAAACAAAATAATCTTCAACTGACTACAGAATCAAAGCAAATTTCTATCGCTAACAAAGCTAGAAGATCTTTCGTATTCTGCAACAAGGACACTAGAATAATCAATACCATAACTATCCTACACTCAGTGACCAACTAGAATTGGTCACTGAGTGTAGGATAGTTATGGTATTGAATATTCTAGTGTCCTTGCCTCTGAAAAAACTCGTCGCAAGCACCAATGTTTCCGAACAAGTAATGCAACCAGTGAATGAGATAAAAGGAAACTTTCATGCTTCTACTGCAAAAGGTCTGCAAGCTATTCAAACAGTGGAATCAATAATAACAAGCAGCATAGAGCAAGAAGTAAATAGACTTTATTATTGTGTAAGGAAGTTAGCATCATAAACCCACAAGTTTCGAAAATTCAAACGAAAGCTCTGGTACTACTGTTTGATATAGGTTCGCAATTATCATTCGTTTCAAAGAATTTAGCGAATCAAGAACAAAAAATGAGAAATTGAATATTGCTTCATTTGGTAACAATATACCGAAAAAATGTTCTGCAAAGAAGACAGAAATTGGTGTAAAAATCGGTATAAGGGAAGTCACACTTGGGAGGTTAATTTCATGGAATACATCACAAATAACCTGCAAATGATGGAAATCGACGACAAAAATATATCCTCTATAATAGAAAGAAAGGAATTGGATGAGGCAAAGGATTACTAGAAGCAACCCGAAATACTCATTGGCGTCAAAGACTTTTTCAAGCTCAAGAAATTGGAAAAGCACAAGAACTGAAGTCAGGATTTTTCTTGATCCACACAAAACTTGGACTTTTGATAGCAAGAAGCGGATATACTAATAAAATCTCAAATTCTAATTCAATAATCCAAGCGATGAAGTAGAAAAGGATGAGCAAGTCACAGTATCCCCGACAACACAGGGATGAGCAGATGGTTCCACAAGGCAATAAAGATTCTGAATGAAAAAGCAGGATCATCAAGCCAAAAAGTTCAAATCCAATGTTTTATGGTCAAAAACAATAAAGATTCTGAAAAAAACGGGATCATCAAACAGAAAAGTCAAACCCACACTAATAATTCTGAAACTAGGGAGTTGTTCCCCATTTGATCTGTCTCATTCAGGATAATCTTGCCTCATTAATTACTTCACACGAAATCATAAAGAATGGCGAAATCTCGACCCTGACAGGACTCGAACCTGCAATCTTCGCCTCCGGAGGGCGACGCCTTATCCATTAGGCCACAGGGTCCATCACTGTAGTCTATCCAAATTGATATAGAAATATTCCATCTCTTTTTATTTGTTATTTTCTCAATATTCATTCAAGAGAATAATGATATTCAAAAGGATAAGTTGTTGATAGTTTCGAAGTATTTGTCATATCATACCACAACCCTATCATAGAAATAGAAATAATGTCAAAATGATTCCAATCAAAATTGATCATCCGCTTTGAAAGTAGCGAAGAGCACTGAGTAATTTCAAGGAAATTTGGGAAATATTGGCCGACTATAGATTGCTGAAAATTGAGGCAAATTATTTCATTAGTATAATTCGTCCCTGTATGTTTTTTAACTATACATGTATATGTTTCCTAATTATATTCCTGCGATGCATCAATGCTATTATAAGTTTTTCACATTAATCTGTCGTCGAATGTTTCGCAAAAAGAATTTAGTTCTTTTTGAAATGATTTTTAACTTTATTTTTCTTTGGAAACTAATGCTGAGAATATTCGCTTCGATTCCTTTAATAATTACCAAAGGGATTTTGCTGCAAGTGCCTTTTCTTGGAATGAATATTCTATTGTCTTACAATATTTTTCAATTAATCACCAAAAGTTAAAAGGAATTATGAAAAGATTTCTCAAAATTAACTTAATCTGTGTAAAATACTTCTATAACGAGCTTTAAAAAAATTTTACTGATAACGAATATGAAAAGATCGCTGAACTATATTTTCTTCTTTCTTAGTATCAGAATATTCGAAAAATTTGTAGTCTTGATGAGAGTAAAAAGAAATGAAGGATACATTATTTGGATGGAGCAAAATAAAGATCATTCAAAAATTCCAAATCAATTTTTTATCAGGTTGATAGCAGTAAGCACTAAGTTTCGCTGCAATTTTCGAACTATTATTACTTTTGTGAGAGATGCTCAAAAGAAGAAATTGTGAACTGCTTTGTTTACACTTGTATTTTTCAACTATGCTTATTCATCGATTGGTTTGTATAGTTTGCAATCAATAGCTGCATCAATTTATCCGTTGTGAACATCAGAATTAAATATTTTCATAGATTTTTCGGGATAGAAGATTAATTCCTCACATTAGGTGCAATCAGTAATTGAACACCATTATTGTACTGATTATATTGTGTTTTCTCCATCTGACATGATCTGTTGTAAATTGTTTGGATTTTTTTGCTAACTATAAAAGATTTCTTAAGGAGTGTCGAAAATTCGGAATTAACTACATCAGAATGTGTTATTACAATATTCTAATAATATTGTCAAAGCATCGAATCTCAAAGTAAAAATTTCTTTGTAAAGAAAATTAACTCATATTCTTCACATATAATTTTTTCAAATTTAACAAAAGTATATTTTCATTAATATAAACAAATCTATCTTCATTAAGATAAATAAATCCCATTTTCATTAATATAAACAAATCTCATTTTTAATAATATAAACAAAAGCTTTTTTACGATATTAACTCTTCCTTCCTCCTTACTTTTTTGAATTCAATTACAATGACCGGTTTCTTCCCTTTAATTCCGAATGAAATTAATTTAAACTTCTCGTATTCTTTATTATATTAATTTTATCATTACTATTCTTTATCATATTAATTTTACTATGTTCATTGAAATGATATTTATTGTAATATTATAATTTGCGTATTCGCGACATAAGGTTTTTTTTTATAATAAACGTTTAATTACCCAAGTTTGAGATGAGAGATACAATCAACAAGAAGGAAATAAGTTCCGACAAGGAGATTGTTTGGAGGAGCTTGATGTAGTTATTTGAGAAAGTGTAGGACGACTACTAAGAGGTTTAATAGCAAACACTTTATCTGGTGTTGATCATAAACTTCGCGAATAATAAAATTACAATTATTACAGTGCAAATAATGAAATAAAAATAAGATGATTTATGGGAAGTAGGAGTAAAAAAAAAAATTTTGTGAATGTGAGCGTTGATCGAGAAGTGTTGTTTCTATAGTGGAACAAGAAGTTGTTGACTGTTAGTCCAGAAAGAATGTTGTTAAACTTTGGTTCAAAAATAAATGTTGTTGACTTTTGGTGGGTAGTTATGAAAATATGATGGATCGCTTGCGCGAGACTATTTTCATTAATATAACAATTACACAAACTTTTTAAGTAACAAACTATTTACATCAAGACATTAGAGGTGCGCGTGATGTTGGCAACAGTTAATGCACTGTTCATGTTAAAATATTTAGCAAAAGATGCGTAAGTGTTATCAGCGCTAGACAATTTAAATAAGAAGCACAAATTGCCAGTTTTGAATTTCCTTAACAATAAACTAATATAACTAATTTCGGCCTTTTCGACATGATCGGTTACCATGATAAGCATTAATTGAACATAAATGTGCTATCTATCACGTTAAAACAGAATATAGATATCCATTTGCACTGATGATAGTGATATTGGATTGATCAAAGTGTGAAAAAGCCTTCAAATTTTGCATTTTTACATCGAAATAAAAGAATTTGAGTGGCGCGAACTTTTTGTACATCATTAAACATATCATATTTTTACCCGTCGTAAGCATAGCGTTTACAAATTATCTATATTAAAAAATGCACCTATTCGAACACAACTTCGTTTCAGAATTTCAAAATAAACGGTTAAGAATTTCCAGAGATTCAAGACTTGTAACAATCAACATTTTACATTTCTATTCAAATAAATTGCCAAAAAACGCACATTTTTTCCGTTGCTTACATTACTTATTTATATAGTACTAAAGGAAATGTAAGATATCTGAAGAGGACAGGAATGATCGGAACAATACTGTGATAATTTGAATGATGTCCACGCTGAACTTGAATCAGTAATTGACCTCTGAGATGCTGCATATGGAGACAAATATCCAAATCAGATTTGTGATAAATCTTGCAGAAGAGATACTGTTGTGTCCAAAAAATGTAGTGGGCCAAGAAATAGTAATGAGTAAACAAATCTTTTAGACGGTAATGTCGCTGGATTTTTATAAGTTGCATCATTTAGCACTTTTTGAATTTCTCATTTAGCTGACATGACGAGAGATAGTTATTCAGTGGAAATGCAGAGATGGAAAAATGAAGAAACTTTGATAGTTGACAGTTAGAACCACTCATTGCTGAATGAAAACATATCAAAAGCGTACATGACGAAATGTTGAAATGCAAGTATGCCTGGATGAGTCTTGGTGGTCCGAGATGCAGGCTTCAAACCTGTAGCCGTCTAGCGACGAAGTGGTTCGATTCCACCTTCCGGGTGTTATCCTTCGTGTGGTGGGAGCGATTTGCTGATAGATTGGATCTTCGTTCTCCCTATTCCAAAAAACTAGACAAGTGTAGCGGGTCAGAATCGAATTCTGTCTTTCAATATCTGTTTGCGACAATATCGATCTGAAGTAAAGATTATTTTTAGTTTCAATGACAAATAAAACGAAGCCGCGCCCGGAAAGATTATACATCGAACTATTGCTTCTTTACTAGCTTTACTTGATAAAATGCTGGGATCCGAATCGGAGAATTGTGATGTAAAGGTTGCTAAAAAAAAAAAAAAAAAAAAGAAAAGAACGAACAAGATGTGAACAAAATTATATTTTATTCAAACATTTAATATTTCATGTGAAATCCATTAATAATGGAAAAATATCAAAAACTTATGATATACAGAAAAATCACTGATAAATTCCAAATAACTAATAATATTATGTGCTTTTCCAATTAATAGAAAATAATATTTGCTTTACTTTTATTGACATGCAATTGGATGCCGCGCGTTTCTGACGTGTTTCTCGCCTGACAAAGAACCGTTCCATGGAAATTGATAGAAATGATGAGAAAAGAAAAGATAAGTATATGAATGGCGATATATAACCATCCAGAAGACAGAATTCGCATGGTGAATGACCAAACTGCTCGATTAAATCAGCGATTCCATATGCAACAGCCATCTGTACCTCATTATTACCGTTCATAGCATCGTTTTGTTCACAAGTCAAAAATTAATTCAGTTTCACGTCTTTTAGAAAATTTTATGATTTTTCGAAACTTTTGGTTTTTAAAATTATTCCTTTATAGCAATTGTCCAATTATTCAACACTGAAACAGATACGACCATAGAACAAGCATGAATATGCCTCGCCTTTAAGGTCTCCAAAGAGCATCCATCTAATTCTTCCATTCCCCCCACTCAGTCCCTCTAAAGTTAGATGGCTGAAAATTAAATAAAATTTTTGAGATGTCATTCATATTACCTTGAAGAATATTGTTCACACATTCTGACTGGATGTTTAACATTGAAGAAAGCAACAGAAAGTTATCTGAAAATATTTTATTATTCATGAATTGTAGAAAATTTGACAAATTGACAGATTGTTGGTGAGAAATGCCTATTTAGGGACAACCGATGGACAACAGTACTACTGGACTGATTCTGACATGATCATCCATCAAGCCATCCAGAAGTAAATGAATAATACTGTAGCGAAATGATGGAACTAGGCATTGCAAGAATAGTCATAAAAAACAACGATTTGCAAGCATGCAGAAATGCATGATGGCAATTTCAGTGA